GTCGGTAGCCTGCATACGGTATTGCCAAATACTTCAGGAAATAGTTGCCTCGTTGTGCGGTTCAGCTCGGCATTGCGTGTGGCAAAGAAGCATGTGTTGACAATGGTCCATTCCAACACTTCCGGGATGCCGGCGTTGTTCTACAGACACATACTACATTTCTGGGCAAAAAAGCCGACGATGCGTTGCATAGTGCAGTTCTTGGCAGGCTCATGTCATCGCGTGATGGCGAGCTCTCCATGCTGAAGTGAGCTCCGATTCCTCAGCAGCGCTAAGCGGAGGCTGAGTGTTTTTCCCACATCTTGCTTGCGCAAGGTGTTGTAGGTTTGCAACTCATTGAGGGGCCAGGAGTAGCCAGTCGCCAGATTGCTGAGCAAGTTGCAGTTCAGAGGGATTCACACTTTTGGGTGCTTGTTTGCCCGATAGCTGGTTCTGGTATCCTTACTTCTTGAGTTAGAATGGTCCAACTTGCACTACCAGTCAAGCGGTAGACGCTCCGGAGACCTCTTTTACCAGTAGCTCTCACTGATTCCATGATGCGGAGTCAGGAAGGCTCACGAATATTTGCGGAGCACAAATCCCACATTAGGTGGTACTCACCAATCCTCAGACAGCGTTTGAAGACAATTGTGCATATGAACACTCGGCATGACGGGGTATACTGTTGCCGAAGAGTCTAGCGGGATACAGATGACCGGGCATGAAGCTCGCATCGTGTCCTGCGCCGGCACGTCCCGGAATTACTGCTTTCAAGGGGTCGGGTCGGATCTTGATATCCATGGTCTCAGGCACTGAATACTGAAGCCCCAGGGACTTAATGCCGGCCTCGGGACTAGAACGAGCCTTCGTGGGATGTGATGACCAGGATTTCAAAGACAAGGCCTCTCCTTCAAAGAAGGAAGGTGCTTGGTCGTCTCTGTAGGGTCTCCCCACACCAGGGGAGCATAGGAACTTAATAGGCAATGCACAGAGGGCCCGAGCAATTTCGGAGAGCTCTCTGTCGCAGTGTTTGCCCGACGTCTGTCTCCACAGGTTCATAAATATTATGAATAAATAAATAATTATATATATATATATATATACACATATCAATATGTATCAGTACATATCAATATAAATATATAAATATAAATAAATAAATATATATATATATATATATATATATATATGGTGCAGCGCTGCTAGGCCCTCCCTCCCCCCCCAACCCCATGGTATCCCCCCCTTCCCCCCTGTGGTTCCCTGTGGTGTGGGTTGCCCCCTGCCCCTCCCCCCTGTGGTTGCGGTCGGCTGCGCCCCCGTCCATGGCTATGCGTCCGGTTGCTAAGGGTTTGGACCGTAGGATGTGATACAGTTCTATTGAACTCCGACCTGCCCTGAGCTCCAAAGCCAATGATAGTGATGAATATGATGGTGATGATAATGACGAAGATGGTGCTCATGATCCCCATCCGCACTCTCATCAGGTCCCTTGCTCAAAAGTCCCGAATGAAAACCATTCAAATACGTGCTCAAGCTTACTTGTAGCGAACCCAGCCGAAACTTGGCTTGGAATGACAACGGTCGTCATGGTTTTCGCAAGAACATCACAAGCCAAGCACGGTTTTCAACTAGATAAAGCGATGAACATGCGGTGCCGAAGCCCAGAGCAACATAAGAGCAAAGGTACCACCAATAGCCACACTGGGACTAGCACATCAACATCATTGCGCACAGCATTCTCATTAGCTCGAAGAGAGGGGAAGGGAAGGGGCCCGGTGGTTCCCTGTGTTGATTATCCTTCCCTACCCCGCCCCTGTGGTTCGCCGTCTTGTGGTTCCACTATTGTGGGTTATCCCTCCCGCACCCACCCCCGATTGCCAAGGCGAGAGGCGAGGCCTGGCTTGGGGGGGAGTTACGCGGATGACGTGTGACTGTTTGATTGGACGAGACGCCTGGCTTCCGGGGGGGGGGCATACCATGGGGGGGGGGGGGGGGGGGCCTGCGACGCGGCGACGCGGCACAATATATGCATGCGCTTGTTTGTTGATTGAGCAGGCTCAAGTAATCATTGCGAATATTGCTGTGAAGGGTTCAGAACAAGTGTATGAGATTGTTCTCAGGAGCTTTTTTCTGCTTGAACACGGTCGCCGCGTTGTGGTGCTCGTGAACTTCTTTTCGCGGGACATAGGCCCGGCAGACCTTACATTCCCAGTTCTCACTCCGGCTCAAAACTTATCCAAGCTGGAGAACCTCGGAGACAATCGGTGAAGCAAGCAGTGCACCCGCCTAGCAGCTACTCTGATCAGACTCGATAGATCAAGCTCGTCTCGCGCTGTTCGGCCAGACGGCTTGTGCACACTTTCATGTCATGGACTCTGTTGCGATGTGATGAGAAGCTGGTGGATAAGAACTCGAATCACACGGGAGTTCAGTGGCACAGAGCCCAGATAGCGTAGAACTTCGCGATTCAGGTCGCCGAGAAAAAGCGCCGCCAGGCCTCACCTTCAAAGTCGTTCAGGGTGGCGTAATACTTAGTTGCCGTCGATGATTTCATCAACCGGGCTGACATACCAAGCTGCTGCCAATGCAGCGTGTCAGCCTTAGTGTCCGCATGGAGGCACTTGTGTTGTGGCAACGGTTTCATCATTCAGAAAATTCAGAATGTCATACGAAGCTGTTGCCCCATCTCCGGTCATCTTCTAGTGTCAAAGTGGAGGCGCCTGCTAATGCTAGCGGCTAGTCCAAACTCAAAATCTGCCAGCGGTAGTCCCATTCTATCCAAGGTCCGTCATCGACAGCCTGGTTTCAACTTGCGACTCTATCCTCCCACAGCTGCAAGGTTACGTGACCGGAAGGGTGGTCAGTTTGCAGCCTTATACAGTGAGCCTGCACGCTGAACTGCATGTTACTTTTGCCGTTTTTCTCACCATTGCTCAGTCAGGTTAGACTTGACGTAGTGTTGCAGCATCCGAATTGGCTGCGGTTGCAGCTTGCCCAGCCGAGGCGAGGTCTTGACGCGCAGCTACAGGCTGGTAAACTTAGTCTTTAATATTAGTCGCCAGCGTATGTCGCCTGATGTTGCCTGTCTGGATCCCTACATGATGCCCTGTCAGATTCACCGAAGAAGTGGATGAATTTCGGGTGAGTACGGCCTTCACAGATCGAGCCAACACTGCAAAAGGTCTAGCAATAGCTTAGTTCCAACAAGGGCAATAAACAGCTCAGAAGAGCCAGATCAAATGCTAGACTGTTGCAGTCAAGTAATCAGGCATACCCAGGTCTGTGCTTGGGTGTTTGAGTTTCATGTCGCTTCTGTTGTGGGAGTGGCCAGCCTCTGCATCTAGCAAGGATGGGTTTGCTTCCGTGCCACGGGCCTTTGTCCAGAGGATGCCTTGTGGCTGCAAGAAGATAAGAAGAGGAATGGTCTGATGGTGTCTTGTGTGGGTTGCAGATTCTGGTGCAGGTCTAGTCTAGAAGGCTTGAACAGACAAATCGCCTTGTGCCCGGGTTTGTGTCAACCTTCCGCCACTGGTGCACATTGCTAATGCCCAAGTATATGTGAACCTGCCGCCGCGGGTGTTTGCTTCTGGCCTGTGGAATGACTAGGCATGCTTGATATTGGTTGTGTGTGTGTGTGTGTGTGTATGTTTTGCTTGGTACTGTGACTGACAAGGTTGCCGGTGGATATGCGAGATCTTTGCCTCAGTTCAAGGTATGCAATAATCTTCAGAAGACCTTGCTTCACAGGAATTCCCAGAGAAAGATGAAGACGAAGCCGACGATGCGGAGGAGGAACTCTGAGAGCTATCCGGCACTATATCCTGAACTTGAGGCACCATGAGAGCCAGAGGTTTAGAATTAATCCATGAATTTCAATGAACTTCTGTGTTCCGTGATGGCTTTCGGTTGCAGTGTACGTGGAGTTCCGTGTTCTTCGCAGAAAAGATGACAGCTTTGTTTGAGAACGAGTCACAGTTGCGACGGTCGAAAAAACGAGAAACGACGTCGAGCAAAGGAATGGAGGACTACCGTGTAGCGTCGTGATGTGAAGATCAGTAGTGAAGGTCCGAGGCATGTCTTACTGGCAATATGACACCTCGCTCAGTGTATGCTCGTATGGACCAAGACCTGCACTAGCAGCGTTGCAGATACGGAGCTGTCAATCTTGCTGGTTTGGTGCCTTGAGAGGTGCACATGTAATAATGGCAAGGCAATGGTAGCCCGAAGACGCGGCACCATTTGGGAGTTTCCGAAACATGGGCGGTACCTTTATTTTGGGCTCCTTAAACATAAGGATCCTACTATCTAGGGTACCGTATTAGGGTCTCCGATTTTCGGAAACCCCCCCTTTCCGGACTCAGAGATGACCTGGGCAAAGATCCAGTGGCAAAGACTCGGGAGGATGGAAGCGGAGTGGGACCCTGACTGCCTCGCTCGCTCCAGCTGCTTGTGATTGCCGTGACCCACACGCACACCCGCAAACAGACTCACAGGGGGATGCCTGGTTGGCTACATGTCGCGTGAAATGAATGTGCTGAAGGACTCGAGCATGTTCAGCACAATTTGCTTCAGGTCACAGTAAGCTCGAATCTGTATACAGTATACATGCTGATACCGTTCTGGGCAGGTTCAAGCAATCCCCCCAATTTTCTTCGGCCTGTTCCTAGAATCAGGCAAGTCTAGAGCTTTGGCATCAAATAGAAACCAACTACGAAGAAGAGACTCCTTGAAGGTGAGACTCTGACAGCTGCCTGGCCTCCATCCCCTGTGTAGCAGGACAGGTTTGAGCCATCAATCCTTCATCACTGTTTAGCCACGAATCGAGTACACCGCTGTACCAAGTCACGCGAAGTTCTATGTCTGGTACCTCGGCTTCCAAATCTCAAGACATATAAAGACATGTTCCAATGACTGGCAAGCACAGCTTCTGAATTCGGGGGTTTCATGTAATCAGCACGAGCCATGCCCTCCACCGTCCCGGCCCGGGCCCTTCACCGGCTGTGAATCTGTTAGCTACTGAGGTCCCAATGTGGCCACCTACGCCCTGGCTCTGAAGGCTTGCGAGCAAGGTGCCTGGCCAGACGAGCCGCTGTTTGAGCTACAGGGCTTAGCAAGGTCAGGTTGCTGGTCTGGGACAGGCTTGGTTGCTGAGTCCATTTGGGAGGGAAGCGTCGTCACTCCGAAGCCTTCTCCCCTTTCTTCTAATGTGTCAAAAGCCACGTTGTTACGACTTGCTCAAGTCTGTGGGCCGATGTTGCAGATTGCGGCTTCAGAGCTCGTAAAGGTTCTCCGTCCGAGCAGGCATGAGCAGGCAGTGCGCAATCCGAAGGCGATTCTCCGATGCTTCAGCAAGCCTAGACCTCTGGAGCCCCCCTCAACTCCGTTCATGTGCTGGGAAGTCTCACATCACAACACCAACAGCCGGTCAGTAGCCCTGAATCCCAAGTCTTCCCTACGGTTTGCCATGGGAAGACAAGAAGACTTTTGCCAGGCGATCGTTGGCCAGAGGGGTTCGGACTGCTGCAGCAGATGACTCTCGGCCTGCTCGGATTCTCTTTGAGGGTGGTACCGGTACCTGCAACGTGCCTTGTGTTTGGGCAGAAATTTCTGAAGGCTGAGACTGGACAGATGCGAGAAAAAACGCTGGTTTTCGGACCCGGCAAGCTGAATCCGAAAGGATGCCACAACCGCAGTCTGCAGGGGTGCATTTTGGGCCATTGAACTAAATCCTAAACCACGCCTAGACGATGCGTCCGAGTTGCGAGAGCGTAAACCACGCCTAAACCAAAGCAATCCGCATTCTCTCTCCCTCTCCCTCTCCCTCTCTCTCTCTCTCTCTCTCTCTCTCTCTCTCTCTCTCTCTCTCTCTCTCTCTCTCTCTCTCTCTCTCTCTCTCTCTCTCTCTCTCTCTCTCTCTCTGTGTTTGTTACATCTGTTGGTATAATATCTATATAAGTGTATGATTCTTTTTTAGCAGTGCCGCGATGCCCTGGAAGCCAAGGAGAGATGTGGCAGCATGCGTCTCAGCATTTCAGCATCTTCTTAGGCTCCCAGGCTCAGCCCTGAGGACTCGGATGCTTCAACGAAGCCGATGTTTGGAGGTTTCGATTCTGGAGGATAGATGCCTTGTTGCATGTGCTATCTGCTACTTGTGAGTTCAGGTTCGAGGCAGGCTGGTTGAAGATTGGATGCCGACAGGCTTGCTCCAGGTCTGTATATAAGTCGGCCTCGGATGAACCAAGTTCCCTAAGGTGCACCCAAACACCGTCACCTACAACACTTTCATCAGCCTTTGCACACTGGCCCAGTCCTCAGCAGCTTGAGCAACTTCGATTTCTGCCTTGAGGAGCTTGCGCAGGGGAATGTCCTAAAGGAGACGGGGGGAGCCCATCGTTTCGTGGTAGACGCAGATTCTATGCCTTTTTGAGCTTCTTTATGCGACTACAAGGACTATAAGTATATTCACACCACAGTAGACCCCCCAAACCCCCCATTCTACATGTTCAGTTCTTTCCGGAGAAAAGCTGCAAAGTTCTGCAGAAAGAGGCCAACCGCTGGGCCGATGCCGTGGCAGCGGTGCAACAGCTCCACGAGGATGCCCTCAGGCCGGCATACGATGTCTTTTTTGTAGCATCTTTGGGATATGCGTAGGTTATATAGCGCGTCTCCTTCGGCTTTGAGTGGGTTTGGTCTCCGCAGTAGCTTTGGGGCGTTCTCTGTTGCGATTGATGGTGCTTCTGCATGAGTCCGTTCAGCAAAGATCTCATGCAACCTGGAGCTGTATTGCTTCCTGCCACGAACTGCGCATCCAGGTCAGAGCCCCGAGGCCCGTTCCATCCCATGGACTCCACCTAAACTTAGAGTGGAAGCTCTCAAGGCCGAGAAAGCACCTTGAAGTCTCGAGCACTATACCCCAAACGTGGATTCAGCTGGAAAGAACGCAAATCTCGAGGCGTGTATCTAGACGAAAGCTGGCGAACGTTCTGGCTTGGTAGTGTATGGTAAAGGTGCTGGGATCCCAAAGCATGTAGCCCCGAGAGCGCAACTCCTTGCAGGCTATACAAAATTACTGCTTTTATGTTCCATAAGAGGCCAACCGTGATCACCTACGGCTCGCTCATTGCCGCGGGGAACTCATGCCTGCCAGGGCAGCTCTGCAGAAGTGCAAGAATGACATCTGCAGGGTTTAAGGTCTAGAGTTCAGTGCACTCATCAACAGAAGCACTCATCAACAGAAGCAAATCAGAAGGTGTGCTGTTGCAAGACGATCGAGAAGATCAATAATCAAGGGCAACAGAAACCAGAGTTGTTACCATGACCCCGTGATCAAATTGTGCTAGACATGTTTATAGAGTCTGGGGCAAGCAGCTTTTACATTGAGCGGATCAACAAGCGCTGGTAAGGAGTGTCTATAGAAGCTCCACCGCGGGAAGCACGGCCTCAAAATTCGCCCGAAGACTTTACTGAGACGTCAGAACCTTTTGACACTGCGCCTCTAGATTCATCTAGGCCTGCGGCAAGGGCAGCGAGGCGACAAAGGCGCCCGACTGAAGATGTGGCTGTCTAAAGGGGTTTATTGAATCTAGTGGCGTCGTTGAGGTCTTCACATATTTGATCTAGCTACCCCAGCGAAGCGGTGTTTACAGCAAGAAGAAGTGCAGTAGATCACCAACACATCGCCCGTGTGTGTGTTGCAGGCTTGCCCAACGAGGATACCCCAATGCTGAGATCATGCACAGCACACCAAAACGCCGCCTGCGTGCGTGCCGCCAGGCTTTGAAATTCCTGCAAGAGCTCTGCGCTCAGCAAGGGTTACAGGGCGGTGGCCGTGCCGCTGCACTGCCTTCCACTAGAGCAGGCTTCGATGACTGACCTCGAGCCCAGAGCCTTGCGGTTGGTGTTCTCCGTGTGCTTGCCGTTAATATTTCGCAGTGGTTTGATTGTTACGATAAGTTGTATTCCAGTTGTTGCCCAGAGTTCGTTGCATCATGGCTGGTGCAGATTGCTTGACAATAGGATGGAGGCAGCAAAGCTGCAGCCCAGCGTCCCGGCCGTCACTTCGGCCGGGGCCACACAGTGGAACCGGTCCACAGTTGGCAGAACATGATTTGACAACATTGCTGGAAACGGGCAGGATAATGGCAGCAGTAGGCATGGATTCTCTGGAGACAATGGCAATAGCTACGCTCACCTTATGTAGGCCTTACAGATCCTTACAGTAGATATGCATACATGCATACAGACCTACATAATCATGCGTACTGTATGTGCCAGCCCGTAGGCAACGACGATGCAGTTCGGGGGTAGTGTTGGAAGTGCTTACTCATGTGTGTTTTCGCGCATATCATACGACGACATGTGCTCAGAGTATGGGCACGCTGGCAATACAGGACAATATCGACTGAAACGGAATTAGTGGAGGCACGAACACCAATCAAAAAAGCAGGCGTCGACATTGTTGATGGAGCTGCAGTTCAGGCGGTAGCTCATTAGTGGGGGACATGTGTGACTACCAGTCAAGGTCAATCAACATCTTATGCGATCTGGCAAACAGGAAATCAGTTGTCTCTTCGCTCGAAGGAAGTATAACTGCCGAGGTAAATCTGCAAGGCGACACTGCTTACGCTAGTCTGGTTTGGAATCAGGCCCATAATTCCATCATGACCACTTTTGTTCAAACATCACTGGAAGCATACAGAGATTTCGGTAGGCGAGTTTATGAGGCCATCCGGGCCTGTGAGCAAGGCGGACTTTGGCAGGCGGCATGGACCCTTTGCTTGGCTGAGACTGTGCTGTGGTGTGCAGGCTTCGCTGTTTAGGGTTGAGGCTGCGTGTTCGTTCAGCTTTAGGGCTGAGCCTGCATGTCAGACGTTCGCTGCTGGTTTGGGAGAGGTCTTGGCCTCTTTGGTCTAGGCGACCGACCCGATGATGATCTGATAGTGACACTTATCGGATTCTGGCATCAAGAGACTGAGCCGTCTAAGCCTAGGTGCCAACCCCGAGAAAGCATGTGTGAATATTCTCTACTACTCTCGAGAGGCCGGACGAGTGCGTCAGGGAGTTTTGGCTCTAATGGCCTGAGTCTGACAGGATGCTCTTCGCCTCTTCGAGCGGCTGAAGGCGGAGGCGGAAGACCCTAAAACCGTGAAACCCAAACCCTACAGTAGCAATAAGAGAGTTTCCGAAAATAGGGAACACTAATATAGTACCCTTAATAGTAGGATCCTTATTATGAGATCCTTGTTTGGCTGAGGAGTGCGAGAGTCGAGACCCCTCTGAAGAAAAACCTAGCCTCAAGCCGCACAGGCACTGTAATCGTGGTGTGTTTATATTAGAATCACCAACAGTCCGCTTGGAATAGCAACGCGACCCAGCCGTCGCAGATTCGCAGCTTGTTTTTGATTGCCTTCGCGGAGGACGGCTTACCTCCCGACCTCAGGGCCTACAATGCATCGGCCCCAGCTTTCAGCAGTTCCTTTAGCGCGCGGGCATTTAGATTTCCGTGCAGGAGCGGATCCATGCTGCGTCGTTTTGTGTCAAGGTGAGAGTCAGTGGCTACTGTTTCAACATAAAGGCAAGTCGATGCACATTTCGCAGCTAAGATCAGCGAACTTCCATGTACACGTGTCCAAAACATGAATCGGTTGCTGCATGCTTGCAACATGCTTCTCTGAAGGATGAGATTTGAAACAGGCCTCAAAGAGTCAAAGAGTCTGGAACGCATGGTCACATACAGTTCAGGCCACGTTGAGTGCAAGCGAGAAAGGACGGATGAAGCTTCAGGGGATGGCTGTGATGTATTGTTCCCACCACCATGTCCAAGTTTGATGCTCTGCTCCAGCACTTCCGATGATGCTTGCTTGTACCAGACTCAGGCACGGTAGAAGCTAGAAAACTAAAATTGGTCCCTACAGGCTAGAGCAATCGGAAAAAAGGCATTGCCGTACTGTTTCTGAACCCGCAGGAGCGAAGTGGGGAGAAGCCCTGGAGGTCTTGAAGGACCGGCGTCTTGCATGTCGTGGATTTACATGAGGGCTGCGTCGCGTTTTATGTCCGGAGTAGATGTGATTTGAATGCTTGACATATACGGGACTTCTCTTCCTGCAGGAGAGCTCGGGTGATCGACCGGTTAAGTCGGTTAAACCGTTGATTACTTTGTGTAATTTGAAGTGCTTCCGGCAGTGAAGTTGTGGTTCGAGAGAGCCAAGCATCAAGAAGTCATCGAAACTCAGGGAGCCTCCGCCGAGCGCCCTTCAATCAGATGACTGATGACAGCACGCCGACGTCACGAATTAGTGCTATCCTCTTGGTCGATTTGTGTATGTTTGATTTTGTTTCATGTCTCTCCCCACGCACAAAGATGCCCGTCAACTACTATGGATACTATGGAGTTAAGGCAAGGGCCTCTAAAGATGGCTTGGGTTCGGCATCGAGGTCTTTCTTTTTTTGTAGCGGAGGGTTTGGCTTGAAGTGGTGCGTTTATTGTTGCGGTTATGAAGACACCGACAGTGGCCTCGGCAATAAGTTCATTTTATAAGCCCTCAAACCCTAAACTCTGGAACCCCCCATCCCCTAAATTCCAGAATGATTGTCAAACCTGTTAAGCCCTGCTATGCAAGCTCGCCTTTGCAAAGCAGGTGGCAACACGACCTACTGAAGGGCCTAACACAATACAAACGAGAAGTAGCCAAATCGAAAGCAGCAACCCAAGCGCAAAAACAAAAAGCGCGCAGTGGAAAGGAATTGGAAGAGGGTGCCGCCGATAGCTCCGGCCGGCTCAAGGTGGATTCGGCCTTTTAGCTTCTTTCAGAACCCAGATTGACTCAAAAGGCATCCCAGCAAGGCATATATGATCAACACCTGATTTGCATAATGCGTATGCACCTACTTGCCGCAGGATGAAAGAATGGATAGATCGATTTCTATACATGCTTACATTGCTTATATCTATATATATATATATGCATGCATGGAGGTACATGCCAGTTACGGCGCATTATTGTTTAGATGACAGCGGACAGCGCATGTTTTCAAGATGTCACTGATCACGTGTGCACGCACGTGTGTGCGTGTGTGTCTCTGTGTGTGCGAATATATGCTCGTGGATGTGACCGTCATGGTCTTAGGTCCCGGGCCTGCTTTTTGCATGAGTCTAGGAGTCATTTGAGGCATTTTCCATAAATGGTCATACTCTCGAGGGTTTATGTGCTGTGTGAGTTCCATCGTCGGAGGTAATTCATGATTGGGCTCGCAGGGTTCGAGGGTGAGGTAGGTTGCTGCTCGCAGATCAAAGCAGGATTTCGGAGCGATTGCCTGCAGGGCGGATTTCATGATGATTCTCGACGTTGCTTCAGTGTCTTTGTTCTGGCAGGGCAGTCCTTGGAAGTTGTTCGGCAATTGGTCTGCCCTCTTTTTGTGCACAAGTCAAGCAAGCTTGCAATTTGCAGCTCCCCGAGATCGCGAGCAGCTTGCCGGCCGGAAGCTTGCCGGGCAAGGCATCTTCTGTTCCACCAAATCTTCCGCCCTAAACCCTTGGGCTCGCCAGTGCCAGCTCGAAAAGCATACAAAGGCCTTCGCTCCATATGCCGAGTTATGCCGAAAGTGGCTCAAAACCCGAAACACTTGTCGGACATTCACGATATGTTGCTCCCCTGTGGGGTTGCAAGAGTGCGCGTGGAAGTCCGGAAATAGTGGTGTCTTTTACTTTTTAAGCCGCCAGGTGAAACCGCCAAAGCCCGACGCTATCAGCTACAATGCCATCATCACGGTCCGGATCTCTGGGGCCTTTGTTTTATGGTTTTCGTTGGGCTGTGAGTTCGGGGTTGCTTCTGTTTTACACTTTCCGCTGTTTCTGGCTTGCGAGATCAACAAGCAGAGGCTTTTGGAGGTAGGGGGATCAGAGAAAGCCAGCGACATACTGTGCCCTACGTTTGATTGTTAGTTTTGCTATATAAGCTGTCTACACTGTGGCTTGTGTGATTCTTCATTCGAGTTCAGATTCCATGAGCAGTCAATTATTGAGAGCCTCATTCTGTTTCGTAGAGTTGTATGGCGAAGGTTGCACGGTTTCGGGTACTAGGCTTGAGGGGTTAGTTGGGGAATGTGTCCGGCCCACATCCTGCAACGCCAGATCGAGCGGTTTCATCCCTCAGCATAGCGCGTATGCACACTAAAGCTCTAAACTTTAAACTCTCAAGCCCCAAAGCCCCAAAAGCACTGCTTCAAATCACCGGTTTCTTTCACTGATTTTGCCCCCGTCCCGGGTGCATGAACTGGGCAATCAGCCGACTGAAAGGGATGTGGAAGTGCACAGGCTTCCGGCTCAGGGTGAGACCTTAAAGCCTGTAACCTGCGGATCTCATCCAGCCCAAGAAGACACTTTCAGCCTCTTGAGTCTGAACCCAGCAAACCCCCGTATGGTTATGTCGCCAATCCCTAAGCACCCTGCAGAGTTCAGAAAACAGCATCCCCAAACCCCAACACACCCTGAAACCCAACGGTGTATAACAATCCTAAAGCCCTGCCTTAAATCAAAAGCCCAACAGAGCAACTCCACCGCCCGAGGCTTGTGGAAATGGCTTGCGCTGGGACCTATCCCTGATGCATCGACCTCAGCCGCCCAGGAGCTGTTAGATCCTTTTCGAGTCTTGAGGGCTTCGAGGGTTGGGGTCTGCGGCTGCGAATGTAGGGGTTGGAGACGAGGACTGCGGATTGAGGTCCTTCCACCTTTGCGTTGTGCATCGATTTAGGGCAAAGATTTAAGGCCTATAAGCCCGTTCAGCGTTTATGCCGGCTTCAGAGTGTAAGGCATAAGGCTTCATTACTGCTCTCGTGGGCTTTGGGTTCTTTCAGGGCTGTCCCCAGAGACCCAGACGCCCGTCCCGGCAATACATTGCACAGCACCTGTCACTGTTATTGGCAAGGTTCTTGCAGCGCCTCCGGGATGTGGTTAGCTCAGCTTTGTGCAAAAACGGTTCTGTATGGCCTGCAGGTGTTCTGCCCTGTAACATACGAAAATGGGTATTGTAAGGGGTCCCGTAGTGCATACCTGCAGGATACGTCGCAACGTGCTTATTCTGGAGTGACCTTGGCAGAATTCCTTGAAGCCTCCCTAGGACACCGCTCCCCTAGACTGGCCTTCTCTTTGCCAGAAGCCGCGTGTTGTCAACGTAATTAACACTTTCGACCTGCTTCTCCAGACCCGGAAGCGCACGGCGTCTTGGATGGACATTGCCATGTGATTCTGTTCCCGGACGTTTTGTTGAAGGATGGTGCAGTCAGGACACAACGAAGTGCATCTACCTTTCGAGCATTGGCAGTACTTGTAGTTCGTATCTTTGCCAGTCATAGGCGAAGCTGTCAGAACAGAGCATGACAGAGCTGCACATAGATTAGAGGAATGTGGTGGCTCATGATATTTTCCTCTCTTGACAGCGTTTCTATACTTGCCCTTTTCGGCCTCGACCTTTGAACTTCGCAGGCCACCACCGGCGTGGTGGCGGATGTGATCAGCTTCAATGCTGGGCAGCACAGACTTTGTTAATTTTTGTTAACGTGCTGCCGTCTAGAACTGAATACACTAAGGCAGACTCTGAAGTGGACTCCGTGTCTCTTGTTTTGAATGACTTCGTACTCTGGATTCGGTCATTGTTGGTTGTGAGGGTTGTCACGATTTCAACCTGCGCACAGCATGTTGCCTTGTAATCCTTTTTGCCTGTCTGGCTTCGGCTTGCGAAGTCTTTGCTACATGCGTAACATGTAAAAGCCCGTGAAAGCCCACCTCCGACTGCATGAGTCTGAATGCGCATCATACATCCGTCAACCCTCCCGGTCCCAGATTCAAAACCACGCCCCGCGAGGAAGCCCCGAGACTCAGCCCTAAACTAAATCCTAGAACCCACAACCCATGGGCCCGTGGGCACAATATAACAAATCACAGCACTGACCGCTGATCGTAAAGCAACTGTAGGCCACAGGAGTTATATGGGCTATATGCCCCTGCCAGTAGCCAGCGCGTTGAAGGCTACGGCCTCTGCCTGCGAACGGGCGAGCCAGTGGCTGAGAGCGTCGGGTCGCCCGGGCTTCGTCGTCTTCAATCCCTCGGGGCCCAGGGCGGGTTTCACGAACAAAATAAGGCGGGTTCCTCATGATTCTGCAAGGAAAGATGCGAAAGACCAGAAGTTTTCAAGCTTTGGGGGTTTGGGCTTCGGAGTTTCACCTGTTTCTGGACTTTTGGCTTCAGCTTTGAAGCTTTCCAGTGTTAAGTTTACTTGGATATGGTTTAGAGCCTCCGAGTTTTTACACGGTTCGCAGAGAGTATTTATGGGCGTAGAGTGTCGTCAGGGTCGCAATGTCTGTTGCCAGAGCTTCCGCGGATTGGGTTTTGTGGCTTCGGGTTTAAGTCTAAGTGTCGAGGCCTCATGTGATAGTGGAGCTTGGGATTTAGGACTTGAGATTCCGGCTCAGCCTGTGGGATTCGCGCATGGGTTGGTGCTAGAGACGCAGGCTCAGAAACGGGTTAGGGTTGTCAGAACGTTTCACCCATGCAGCATGACACTTGAAGGGCGCCGACTGTGCAGGACCTTGCTTTGTAGTACATTATAGGGATCAGATGGATGCGTCCTTGCTCGGCAATCAGATCGGGTCACGTTCTGTTACATGCATGTCCTGGGTAAAATCTGAAGCATCATTATAGCTTCGCTGCCGAAGAGGCTACATGCAATGGTGCCATGTGTAAGCTGCCAAGGCAAATTTCGCATGTCAGCACTCGAGGATTGAAATACAAGACCCCGGTGTCGTGGCCTTGAGGCTGGCATTGCTTGACGACCTGCTTGAGGATGGCATCCAGACGCTCGGCGCATTGCAGACCAGACATGCACAATGAGTAGCCGGGTAGATCGGGTAGCGACATGCAGGTCGAGATCCGATTGCTTGATACCGCACGTACTCTGATGCAAGACCAGCGGCAAACCGCAACATCTGTAAAGTAGCGTTTGGCAGCATGTGGCATGGAATGGCTTTGGGATTGCAGGGGCTCGTGGCTTTGCGATTTTTCTTGCTTCCACGACTGTTTGCCATTGAGAAGTCATGGCTGCAGGCCGGATGTAATCTGTTGTGCCTCAGCTGCATTCAAACTGATTCGACCTGTCTTTAGTTTCATGTCTGCCCTCAGCACACATGCGCAAGGCTCCTGCTCCTCCCCAACCTGCTAAAATTACGTATGCTATACATGCAGCCGCCACTGCTACTGCATTGAAACATGACTCGGATCCGTGCCCTACCTGCTGTGTGGTGAACTTGAAGAGTGTGTCAGTCAGAGAAACGGCGTGATCGCGCGATAAGTTCGGCTCCAGTTCGCAGGCTACTCGTGGGTGAGGCAGACCTGATTCGCAAAAACATGATACGTCTTTTTTGCTTCTTCGATGACTGAGGAAGGTTGCACCTTGCCTTAGCTAGCTTGCAGCTATGGATCCCCAAGCTGGCGCTGACCTCATCGGCGCTGAGAAGCGACGTCTGCTGGACCGGACCCTCGAAGAGCTGCAAAGCATGTGCAGGCCACTTTCTTGAAGCAAGCTGCAATAGGTCAGCCCATGACCTGTAAGGCGGCTCTTCAGCAGATTGTTTCTTTCTGGTGATCAGGCTCAACGGGTGTAGCTGCAAGCCCTGCGAAGCTCTGCAGGCACCCTTGCGACAACTTGGATTGCGATGAACGGCAGAAATTTGGGGATGTCACCGACAACGCTCGGGTCAAGTGCAGCATCGCCTGCTTGCAGCAAAGGAAGGATGTAACGGACTTGATGCAGACTCCACGCCAGATCTTCGAGTTCAATCGCCGGAACATTCAGCAGGGTAGGAGGAGCAAGATACTGCACATCTCCATCCAATGTGTTTCTTGTGGAGCGGAAGGGGCCGTCATCAAGCTACAGGACACAGTGGAGAAGTTGTACCTCGACCTGCGGCAGTACCTCGCCAACGACAAGGCACAGCCGTTGTTGTACCGTCCAGGGCAGCTCAACGAAGACATGCCCGACGATGCCAAAGCCGTTTGTGAGCTGACGCACCGGCCAGGTGTGGATGCTTTTGTGGAAAAGCACTTAACCAGTGAAGCTCTTCGATCTATTTCTCAGTCGCTTCAGCCTGGCCATGAGCTGCACGACAAGCTGCGAACGAAAGGATTGAAGGCCACGGAGAAGTTCGGGGATGATACGATGACCTACATCCGTATTGGGTTAGGTATACTGGAGCTTGGCCAATACACGGCCGTACTGGAGTTGTGGCCTAAAGGCTACAAGTCGCCGAAGCACCATCACGGTGGTTGCGCTGGCAGCGTCCGTGTGCTGCATGGTGCATTGAACTGCCAGCTCTTCGACAGCATCTTGGACGACGAGCCCATCAAGTTCAAAGGAAATGACGGGCAGCTTGGCCTGCCGAACGAAGAGCAGTCGGTGTTGAAGCTCACGGCAGGAGATACAACCTGGCTGAACCGCCAAAACTGGTGGGTGCACCAAGTACAATGTCACGATGATTTTGACTTCGCACTTTCGGTGCATCTCTACAAAAGCTGCACTGATGCCTTTGCTTTTGTGAAACCCGCCACCGGCTACAACGAGGCGTTGACCAGAGTTGAAGGTGCAGGTACTCTCGAAAAGGGCATGCCGAACAATGACTACTTCTGGAACATCGATCTACCTGAGAGTGACAAACGGGCAACTTGCCTAAGTCTTAACGTCTTTCTCATCAGATGAATAAGTTATTCTCTTGCTAGCATATTAATATTCCAAACTCCAGCAGTTGATGCAGACTCCAGCGAGGCTAAATTCGAAGTTTGGATTTGTTTCGTACGCCGGGGAATGGGGCATTGCAGGTAAAGGAGATCGGACACCCTGCAGCTAACGGTCAATCGGCCGGTCCTCTCGATTTCGAGAAGCGCGTGTTGAACGAGGCTGCATCTGATTACCGGGGTTGACAGTTTCTGCATGTAGCAAATGTAGAAGACTCCCGACAGAAGAACAAAACGAGGCTCAAGACAAGCTCCTCCACAGCAGGGTCCCTGTGACGAGGCCCCAGACACCAAAAACTCGGCTCTGAACGGGGGAATGAAGATGCCGCGGCTCCTCCACGACGCAACTCCCGAGACGCTTTCCTTCAAAGACAAGAACGGCAAGGTCCCTGCACACTGGGCGGCTGAAAAGGGGGACAAAGAAGCGCTGCAGCTCCTGCACGACCTGGTGCCCGAGACCCTTTCTTCCAAGGACAACGAAGGCCGGGTCTGTGCACACTGGGCGGCTTTACAGGGGCGTAAAGAGGTGCTGCAGCTCCTCCACGACTTGGAGCCGGAGACCCTCTCTTCCAAGGACCACCACGGCCGTGTCCCTGCACATTGGGCGGGTTACAACGGGCACAAAGAGGCGCTGCAACTCCTGCACGACCTGGTGCCCGAGACCTTGTCTTCCAAGGACAACGAAGGCCGGGTCTGTGCGCACTTGGCGGCTTACAAAGGGCACAAAGAGGCGCTGCAGCTCCTGCACGACTTCGAGCCGGAGACCCTCTCTTCCAAGGACGGCCACGGCCGTGTCCCTGCACACGGGGCGGGTTACAACGGGCACAAAGAGGCGCTGCAGCTCCTGCACGACCTGGTGCCCGAGACCTTGTCTTCCAAGGACAACGAAGGCGGGGTCTGTGCGCACTTGGCGGCTTACAAAGGGCACAAAGAGGCGCTGCAGCTCCTGCACGACTTGGAGCCGGAGACCCTCTCTTCCAAGGACGACCACGGCCGTGTCCCTGCACACGGGGCGGGTTACAACGGGCACAAAGAGGCGCTGCAGCTCCTGCACGACCTGGTGCCCGAGACCTTGTCTTCCAAGGACAACGAAGGCCAGGTCCCTGCACACTGGGCGGCTAAAAAGGGGGACAAAGAAGCGCTGCAGCTCCTGCACGACCTGCTGCCCGAGACCCTTTCTTCCAAGGACAACGAAGGCCGGGTCTGTGCGCACTTGGCGGCTGGGCACAAAGAGGCGCTGCAGCTCCTGCACGACCTGGTGCCCGAGACCTTGTCTTCCAAGGACAACGAAAGCCAGGTCCCTGCACACTGGGCGGCTTACAAAGGGCACAAAGAAGCGCTGCAGCTCCTGCACGACCTGGTGCCCGAGACCTTGTCTTCCAAGGACAACGAAGGCCAGGTCTGTGCGCACTTGGCGGCTTACAAAGGGCACAAAGAGGCGCTGCAGCTACTGCACGACCTGGTGCCCGAGACCTTGTCTTCCAAGGACAACGAAGGCAAGCTCCCTGCACACTGGGCGGCTTTACAGGGGCGTAAAGAGGTGCTGCAGCTCCTCCACGACTTGGCGCCGGAGACCCTCTCTTCCAAGGACAACCAAGGCAAGGTCCCTGCGCACTTGGCAGCTGACATGGGGCAGAAAGAGGTGCTGGAGCTCCTGCATGACTTGGCTTCCGAAACCTTGTCCTCCCAGACCAATGACTGCAGGGTCCCTGCACATGATGCGGCTGACAACGGGCACGAGGAGGCGATGTTGTCGCTCTTCGAACTAGTGCCCGAGACCACCGACGACCATGCTAGCAGCCTTCCTGAGCTGGCGCCCGAGGTTGTCGGCCGCTGCATTTTGTGCTGATTTCCAGCTATAACATTTAAGACTCGGCATCCGCTTGCGTCTACAATCGCTCTATTGCAACAAACCAGTTCATTCATGGCCTGTGAAGTTCCTGCTGGAGGAAGGCTGCATCATCCGTAGCTTCTCTTGCCATCTCCAGCTTTTTGGATCCTCCAGGCAACACCTTGATCGGTGCGTGCGCGACAGGCCAGGCATGGCTGCCCGATAAAGGTGGCATGATCCTATGTGTGGCACTGTGGCACTACACATCTCAGTACTGCGGCTGCGGCTAAACATGATGTTGGAGAATATCCAAGGATCGGTTAAGTGACGGTAGACTGGCAACGGTGGCAGCACCAATGCTAACAGTAATCTAAATGATAGACACATGGTGCTGTCCAATGAACACGACCGTTTCCTGAACCAGCCAGATCAAACTAGTGCTCCCTATCCTGCAACAAGCTAAACTAGAAACCAGGACCCGAATGCACGCAACTTTCATCCTGCGTGCAGCTTCAGTGTAAGGCATGCGCCCAGACTGTCAGAGTCAAGCAGGTATCGCTTCCTGTTGTGCCGTTTATGGCACAGCATGGTAGACAGACAGCCGCTCCCGATGATCCGAAATGAACTTCTGGAAAGTCCGAAATACGAACAACCCTGAAATTCGACAGAACGGCCTGCGCCCTTAACCTTGTAGGACCCAACAGCAGGCTTGAACTGGCAGCTTGGCTTGGCGATGCTACAGAGGATGCCAGAGCTGAAGGTCGAGCCACCTGACTTCAATAGTGGTCAACTGGTCACTAGCCTGATCTTCCTCGCCTCAGTTTTGACTTGACGTTAGCGAAGAATGAACAGCGGTGTTAGTGATGACGAGTGCTAAAGGATGATGGGGATGTGGTTTTCTTTTGCTGCTGCTGCTGCGGTTGTTTTTGCTGGTAGTAGTGGTGCTGGTGCTTGTGGGGGTTTGCTGCTGCTGCTGCTGCTGGGTCTGGTGCTCGTTCGGCAAATGAGCTTCCATGCTGATCGCGATGGTTCAGTATTGTGTGATGGTGACGACGGTTCTGATGTTGATGCTGGCGATGATGGCCTCCGTCATCAGGCGACGTTTATTCCATATCTTCATGTCATGGCAACGGGCTAGCATTGCTGTAATGCTGCTTAGCATGGTCTTTTGTCCTTATTTCTTCTGACGGCAGTAGCGTGTTCTTGGGTTTTCACAGGCATGGCCTTTCTAGACTGGGCGTCCCGCTGACTGGTGCCCACTGAGATTGTAGTTCGCTTGAAACACTGTCTCCGTGCAACACCATCAAAATCTACGGACCCCTCGGCCTGGAACCGAGATTTAAGCTGCCTCGTTGGCCTTATGAGGCCCGAGCAGCTCAGCCACCGTTCCGGCCTCATCCGCAACGCCTGGAGATCCGAACGGACCCGTTGTTTTCAGCCGGAAGATTTCCCGCAAGGTTTCGGCACCGCACGAAATTTGATTCCTTTAGCGTAGCCTCAGGGCGCGGGAGTTTGTGGGTGGTCTCGTCGTGGTCTGCTGGTGGTCGGGTCGTCATGGTCATCGTTTTGCTCTATCACTGTTTGGGAATCTATCATTCCGGCGTGTGATGTACCGTAGGTCAGGTCAGGGAAGGACTGCTCCATCAAAGCACCTTCCTCCCAAAGGACCCTGGAGACTTAGGAGGACATTCTTATATCACACCATCAGACGCTGAAACCTTAGAGAAGCCCGAAGCGCAGGAGTGCTTTCACTGAGATTTGGTTAAAGAGTGATCGTCTTAAGGCATCCACCTGAACTCTGCGCACTCTTTCAGAAAAAGCCTTACACGTTCAGCGAAGAAGAACCCCGGAGTCCGAGAGGCTTGTTGCGAGAAGGGCTCAGCTTGTGGGATTTGGAGTATACGGTTCCTTTTAATTCAGTTGGATATGTAGAGTTTCCGGTTTCAGGATGCTTGGTTTGCGATCCAAGCAATACCTTCGAGTGCTTAGGCTTGTCCGTTTAGGATGGAGGACGCACTAAGAATTCCTGCCGCACCCAGCTGTTATATAGCGCCCGACGCCCACAGGCAGTTCTGCAATCCTGAAGAACAACCGATGCCGCCCTAAAGCTCAACTCCACAGGAGCTTTCAACAACTCAAACCATGAGAATAATGGTTTACCCCCAAACTAAACCCTGCGTGATGCTTGCACCCTAAATCCGAGTGTGAGTATCAAACGTCCTTACCCAAAGGCCCCAAAGTAGTTCCGTTTTGGGCTTCATATATACAATCCTATAAGGTATCCTTAAAAAGGAACTGCTTTGGGGCCTATGGGTACAGTAGACCTCAAGGGCCCCGCCTTCGAGCTCCGAGGTGCAGTGCTCCTGGCAGCAGCTCGTGCAGATGCCTGGTCCAAAGCATTGGTCCTGCAGGACTGCTTCCATTCTGGTTGTGCACTCGGGAACTAGTGTTATTTCCATGTCTTTTCAAGGGAGCAGTTCTGCAAGGATCTCCCCACTGTGAGCTTATCATGCAGCAATCGCGTTTCAGGACTTGGCCAGATTTCAAACCAGAAACAGCCATTCAGAACCGTGCACATACATGTACCGATGTCCAGCCTGCTGCATGCTCTGCAAGGACGACATGCGCTCTGCATCGCTTCCGCTTGATTCAGCCTGCACAACTGGCATGTTGTGCGAGTACCCTTGTGTTCTTGCCTCGGCAGCACAATGTGTGTTCCTCATGAACTGTGTCGGGATGTCTCTTTGTTAACAGAGGCTCTCCTCTCTTGAAACCTATTTACCTGAGGACTGTTTGCGGCACATGCCCTGAATTTCTCGCCGTTTATTCTGCTGGCTCAATGCAGCCTTGGACAGGTCACAGCACTCTCCTCATGGTTTGCGAGCAACTCAGCTGGCGTGTTTGGGGCCGGGCTTGAAGCGTATCAGTCCCGCCCTCAAGGGATCCACAGCAGGTTTTGCTGCCTTCTTGTATAATTTCCTGTATCATCGGCTTCAGCGCTTGGAATGGATACAGTGAGCCCAAACGAGCACGAGAGAAAGAGGAACAGAGGGAGAGAGGGAGTGACAGAGACGGAAACATGCATTTGCGTCGGAAGGTCCAAGAGCAGACAGTCGTAAATGTTTGTCGGCGAGTCTGTAACCATGTGCCTTACACATGCATAAGAACCGGTATCGGCACATCGCCACACAGCGTCCCAATCTCACACGCATAACAAGAAGACCAGAGAGCAGAAAACCGCAATAGAAGCAAAACAGAACAACAAAAACACAAAGGACCTGTCTGCATTCACGTACCTCCGCCCAAGAAGCATAAACAGAAAGCAGGTTCAAGCTGAACCCCTGAATAAGTGAGCAGACAGGCCAGCAGCACGACCTGGGGCCCCTCGAGGAGAACCTGGTCTCTTGACACCCTCCACCGGTTTCAGAAATTAGGAGTAGGAGACCTCCAAACCGACTACTGCATATGATTGGATACTTGCTTTGTTTGTTCCACCCAAATAAATGAGATCCCGTTTTTGGTTGAGCCATAAAGGTTCGGCATGCCAGCTGGAAGATTGAGGCTTCTGTAAAGTTTAAACTAAAGCGGTCCAAGATGCAATGCTTGCCTGGTGTGCAGGCTGCACATTCAAAGTAACGATTTCGAAGTGCAGTTGAAATTGCTGTGTCGTCTTCTCCTTCTTCTTCTTCTTCTTTTGCTTTTCCTCGCGACTTGGCGTAGCGTTCAGAAGCAAGGGGTGTTTGGGAGCCTTCTGAGAGGGGTAGCTCGAAATAGTTGTTTGGCTTGGCCTAACAAGGGCGCAAGGGATCTGAAGGGTTCGAAAACCTTCGAAAGCTGCCCAGCCAGATAGATTTGTTCTGCCTACACGGTGTCCTTATTTACAAGGCGGGAGCCCGGAATCTCTGTGATTGTCAAGGGCATATCGGATGGTTACCGGAATCCAGCAGCGAAATTGAATGCGTAGTATCATAGTGGAAGGTCTGGTCAGGGGTCTTGATTAGGGCATTCTGGCGCAATTGCTCCTTCTGTGCAGGAGCAGCTGCTGCAAGAAATCTCGGCAGAAGGCCTTTGCACAAGCATGTTCCGTGGTTGGCATGCTTCCCTCTGCCTCGCAAACTGCACCGCCCTATGTTGCAAGCTGCAATCCCGAGTCCTACGGTCACGATTCGGGATTGCGGCTAGTGTGTTCCTGGCGCAGTTCTGTCAGGGCCACCCACTGTTTATGCTGCAGTTTTTCTGCTCGAAAAGCCCACACGAAGTCTTGATCTTTTCTGTTTTAGTGCGGCAGCCGGTCTCACAATGAGTCCCCGCCGAACCGGACGAAGCTTTTGGGCTTTGGCCGTTGCTGCTGCCTGGATGGGCTCCGTTCCTTGCCAAATCTTGGAACCGCTCAGATCAGTCAGATGAGACAAGGCATGGGCGTCTATAACAGACCAAAATTTGTCACTATCTTAATATATGACACTATGTGCCAAGCGCACGCAACGGTGTCGTGCTAGTGGGATCCAGGCAGTACGTTCCAACAGATTATTGCATGCCACAAACTCCCTGGTTGCATCATTTTTGTCGATTGGACTGTGGCCAGCAAGTTTATGTACACTCCCATGTAATACGGCTGTATAGTGTTAGTTTGTTTTGCTAAGCTTGAGAGGAAGGAGGGAGCAGTTTGTTCATTCCCGAATCTCCCCAGGCTACTTATGGTTTGCATTTGCTCCAAGACAAGGTTCATTAGTTGGCTTTTGGAAAGTTTTTGCTGCTGATAGCCCTTGCATTTGCCGGAGTTCCCTTGCCACTACGGCTTTTCACTACTATGCCAAGAGCATTGGAAGATGTAGGGCGCGTAGCACAATGATGGTATCAATGGGCATGTCGCAGGAACGTCCTTTCAAGCATCAGGCTTCTACGGATTGCGGCAGTGTTTGGACTTGCCGTTATCTTCAATCTTCGAATGCCCACGTCGCGACAACTGTGCCCCTCGAATTCTTGGCAGTATAGGATGTGGGATCCATGACGGTGCCATCACGCCTCCACTCAAAGGTGTACTTCCTGACCACTTCCGCCTTCCGTGTCCTCGCGGTGCTCAGCGACGACAGCATACGTGAGGCCAGCACAGGCCAGACCCGTCTGACAGAGAGATCCAGCAACGAATCAAGAGGCGAACAATTGAAGTTGGACGCATTTGGGTTCGTACATTCAGTTCGGCTTGGAGTGCTGGATCGAAGTTAGGCCCCGCTCTGACTTATAGCTATCTTACTTGTCTGGAGTATTGCCGGTCCTGCTATCATTTTGGATCATTTTGGCTTGCTGTAATTCCCGACAAGTCAGGAAGCTGTTGCAAGTCAGTGCTCTCAAGCCGCCAAAGTCGGAACTTGCAGGGCCCAAGCAGAGACGTCACAGGTGTTTCTTTTCCCGCCCACATGAAAAAGTCGCAGAAGTGGGTGGCGAGTGGTGCGGGCCTAAGATTCACAACACAAGAGCGGGAATTTTGGAGGATTTGAAGGTGATGCCCACCCATCAATGCATGACACGCACGACTTCCCCCTGACTTCCACTGCGAATCTCGAGATCAAAGTGTCTTTATACACACATCTGGACGTGTATGCGTATGCATATTTACATATACCAACCTGCATCAGGCATATATCTGTTTACACATGCATATATGCGAACATGCACAAACACGTACAACAACACATCCATCCGTCTGTCGGCCCGTCCGTCTGTCCATCCATCCCTGCACTGATGCATGCATGCTGCCGCCATTTACCCACATGAGTCCCACATGCATACGAGTATGCACACACGATGATGTCTTGTAGCTCATCGAACCCTAAGCACTCACTTTACCAATGTGGCAACGGGGTCTGTTCCAGCTTGATAGTGCTTCTGATCTTCCTCAGCCGTGGTAGCACATGCCGTTCAGCTGAACCATGAGTCCAGCCTTGAGCAACATCGACACAGGAGTCCGGCGCAAGTTCGGCCGCTTCCCTGCACGAGTACAATTTGTTGGGGGGTTGGGGGTGGGGGCGGGGCTGGGTGGGGGTCATTGCTATTGAAGTGTTTGACAGTGTTGTTGTTGTTGCTGTTGGTACAGACAAAAACAGCAGCCCGTACTTGTTGCTCATTAGAAGCTATTGGGAATGCTTCCGGCGACCGCAGAGGGTGCCTGTAAAGTTTGAGAAGTGCAAGCCATGGTTTACACAGCAACTGCCCCCTGATAGAAATGCGGTGTAGGCTGGGTGGTTGTTGTAAAAGGCGGGGTCAAAACAACAGACGGGGCTCCAGTTGTTGCCTCTACCACAGAGGGTAGAGACAAAGGCATCAGCGAAATCAGGACTTTGTCTCTACCCCCTGTAGTAGAGGCAAAAACTGGAGCCCCGTCTGTTGTTTTCCCACATTACACCACATTTCCACAGGTATAGGAATCTGCGATATCCAGAAGGGGTTCTGATGGGTGTTGGAAGGGCTTGTCTGGAATTTTGAGGGGTTTGCATTGGATACCCGCACACTCAAAACCATAGTTACCAGTTACTATACAGTAGTTTGTACAGGCCTCGCAGATGCATAATCTGCACACCATTGAAAAATAGACACCAAAATCACTGAAATACACACCAAATCCATTGCAGTACACACCAAATGCACACCAAATCCATTGCAGTACACATTAAATCCACTGAAATACACACCAAATCCACTGAAATACACACGAAATCTACTGAAATACACACGAAATCCACTGAAATACGCACGAAATCCATTGAAATACACACCAAATCCACTGACCAAATCCATTGAAATACACACCAGATCCACTGAAATGCACACCACATCCACTGAAATACACACCCAATAGTATACATCACAGGCATCCGCAGGCACTGTGTTGTTGTTGTTGTTGCTGTTGTTTGCCTTCGTGGTTCATGTTGTTGCGGTCGTTGTCGTTGGTTTTGCTCATGCTACTATCGTGCTAGAGCTTGCTATCGTTGTTGTCCGTTATTGCTTCGGCTCTTTTACTGTAGGTGTGTGTGTGTGTGTGTGGGGAGGGGGTGCTCCTTTGTGCCATCGTAGTTGCTTCTTGCTGTTCTTTTCGTCGTGGTGCTGCAAGTTATTGGCCGGTTCCGCTTGCCGTAGTATGTCATCTCTACATGAAAGGGAGGCACACCTGGTTTGCCAGATGCCATCGAATACAAAAGTGTGACACACAGTCTGCCTACATGAACAGAGCCGCAGAGCACAACAACCAGCAGCAATCACGTATTGGATCCAATGGTTCTTTTCTCGTCGTTGCCAAGTCTTCGAAACCTGGCTTTGCAAGCATCTTCTGCTCCACGCCTATACTGAAACTATCTTCCCGGAATGCCCCTGCAAGTCTACGTAGCAGGCAACTCACGAGCGGCGGCAGGGTAGAAGAGTATTTGCTGAGTACCTGCGTGGACGGGCTGAAGTAGCGCCTTGACCTGCATAGCGGCTTAGTTGCTGCATAGCCGTGGCACGTTTTTTTCTTTCCGAGTCTCCGAGGAGTAAGTTACCAGATTGACGAGCGAGTCGTTGAGTTCGTTGGATAGTCGGTGATAGTCGCATACTTGTATAAAGTAGAAGGCTTTGGCATGCAAAGTCATCAAAGTGCTTAGCTGTTTGGTTCATCGTCTGCTGGTGACTAGAGCGGGAGGGTGTGTCAGTCAGCGGCGAGTCAGTTTGACAACTTCACTTAGTTCATTAGCATAGTCAGTTTAGTTGCTTGAGCTTGGTTTATTTACATGCGCGCTACATACGAATCGGACTTCGCATCACATGAGTTCGAGACGAGGAAAGATCAAGGTCTACGCCATGGCGTTCTACTTGGACAGCTGGGGGGTCCTTGCATGCCCTCAATTCCGACAAGGTCTCGTGAGTGTACTGAAAGGAGTGGTGTGCCACATCCTGCAAGGAGGAGAGTAGCAAGCTGTGGGGATCCTCGTCGGTGGCGATGCGCGATGTGCTGCAGGAAGCCCCCGGCCGCTCGGCTATATCTATATCTACACCATATAGATCTCGAAGGAACAGTACAGTGACATGACAAAGTGCTCGTACGTAGGTGCAGTGCATGATCGTCCACAGGCTATTCGCAGGGATCAGGCTGTGATGTACTGCGTGTAAAGCACTTGGGGCTATTGCAGCTGATGTATTTGACAGTGTGGACAGCGCCAGTAGCGTCACCGACGTGCCGAAGACAGCCGTCGACACTACTGCCATCTACTGCCTTACCACTGCAAGAACATGCAACTGCTCTGCGTCGCAACTGCATGGCAATAAAAACAGCCACATGAACAACAATTGCCACTCACAACGTTATCACCACCAGCACTGACTCCCACCACCACCAGCACCATTACCAGCACCACCACGAGGGTGTCAAGACACAGGTGCATCGGCATTGTGTGCTTCGTATTGAGCCAAAGCCAGCCGTGAACATTGAATCCCCTTTGTGGCCTGCCACCCCTCGAAGCTGGAGCGTCACACCCAGGCCGAGCCAGCTTGCGGATTGCGCCGACCTAAAGTCCGGAAGTTTCGCCTTCCACTCTTTGGGCTTCCGACATCGTATAAGAATTCAATCTCAAACGAGGCTTCCCGGGATCAGTTCTAAGCACAGTCTATCCACATCCTTACCTTTGGTTAGTAGGGAGTGGAGGAATGAGGTACAAGTATAACTACTATTACTGCCATTCTTCCATTCCCTACTAACCCAAGGTAAGTTATAGGATTGTTAAGGCCCCTATATTACAGTACCCTTATGGATCCCTTATAGTAACCCGTATAGATCCCTTTGTAAGGCCCTCTCAAGCTTGGGAGCTGGGCCCGGCTGGGATTTCTGGGTGCTGGAGGATCCAAGAAGTAGATCCCTTAATGGGGGTTCCTGTAAAGCCCCCTTATTAGTAGTATAGGGCCCAAAATTAAGGGAGCCAGTGGTCAGCTTTCGGGCCCCTTGGTGCGACTTTTGCAGAAGTCGCAAGTACTGTAGAGGCTTACATAATTACCTATATTATTGTGGGGGTTCCTTATTATAGCTATAGTATAATGGGCT